GGCCATAAGTCTTTGGATGGACTTCTTTTTTTATATTGATTCCATGTACGCCCTTTTGTCTAATTTAGTCTAGCATCAGTACAGTTGATTAAGCTTTCCTTTTTTCAGGGTGGTTCCCATCATCTAAGTGTCTCTTTCTCTACAGACTAAATTTATTAAATGCCATGATTTTCCTGAACTGCGACACACATACTTTTATCCATGGAGTTCATCAATCCATATTCTTGAAAAAGCTTTAAAGTCGTCCACTTGCACCACACAAAGTCCTTCCCTTCTTAGTTTTATAGAATTCCAACGAACCTGCCTTTATTTCTGTCTCGTTTAGATGCTTGATTCGTCACATTGTAGTACAACTCTGAAACTGAGGCAACGCTCGTTTCAGTGCAAGTGCAAATAGTAAGTGCATCCAAGACGTTTACTTTTATACCGTTGTCAAGATTAGTCTCATTTCCTTTAATATTTCCTGATTAATTTTTGGTCTCAGGCCTTCAGTCTTTTGGGAATCTCCAACTGCACGCCCAGTCGCATACACTTTCATGTACGCGGATGCTTAACTGTTACCTACCCAACATTAACAATAACGGCTTTAAAGGGGTAAAAAATAAACACGTAGCAATACTAACAAACTTTATTGCAATAATAACTGAAGCAACTGAGCAAAAATACAACGAATACAACAGTAGCAATGTATTCATCATGTGTTACTAGATCGCTGCCACCTTTTAGTTCCTTCGACGGCATTTCTACCTATCAGGCAATCATAACTCATAAAAGGCAAAAAACAAAATAAAATGTTTACCGCAACTATAAAACAGACACTTTTGCGGCAAAATTTAACATCACTTTACTTATTTTTAGATGTTTGCTCAATTAACTTCGTTTGAAAAAGTCGTAATTACGTATCTTTCTTCTCCAACATATTTTAGTTTTTTCTGTCTTCCTGGCATTACTCAGATCATCGTGTGGCCAACATAAGCAAGCAGGTTATCGCTTTATGTCCAGCATGACGGCATATGAGACAGAGATTTGGAGTTATAATAAGTGCACACATGTGAATTCATCGGATACATTTATAAACACCTTTTAAAATATGTTAAAGTTTACATAATGTCCAGCTTACTTAAAGTAATGGGGATGAAACCTCCAGAATAATTCTATGCAAGGTTATTTTTTGTAACACGCAGCGGTAGATGTGGTGCATATTGTTTACGGATCGAGTTTTGTGCGATTCCACTTAACACATCCTTATATTAAAATGGTTGGCGGTAATATCGTTCACCGTAAAAAAATACAGGCATTTTTTTCTTCGGTGCTGTCAGAAAAGTAATGTGGTTCGAAATAACACGTTATTCTTTGTGCAGGTGTCATCATCTGTGGCCTGACGATGTATTCGTCATTACATAAATAAGAGCTACCACATTCTATTTTGCTAAAATAAGTCGATACATAAATACAGAGTTTGTTTACCTCATCTAAGCTTTACATTATTTCCTGAACATGGACGAGAAAACTGCGCCGATTTTTGCTCGCAAGCCCCACCTTGTATCCAAACTGCGGGTTTATAACTAGTTTTTCTGGATGCATCATAATTGCAACGCATGCGGTATTGTGATTATGTATCAAGTCGGAGTTAAAATTGCGCATCTGCTGCACCTCAACTGCCTATCTCGATTTCAGATCATGATGATAGCAGCCGCGCCGTCGGCTAGAAAGTAGCAGATGTTAAATATTCCACGCATTGTCTTCGGCTCAGCAGCACACTCTCATTTAAATAAATCTTACAAGCAAGCACTGTCATATAAAAAGCAACATTGAAACAAAAATCGTGTATCGCCGCAAACGTGTCTGTTTCAAAACTAGCGCAAGCCAAATTCTTATCAACTTAAACTCGGGTCGCATTTTCTTTATTGATTAAAAATGCCTTAGACGCGAAAAAGGTGGCGGCAATTGAGTATTACCCTAAAGTCAACATAATCAAAAACACAAACAGCAATTTAAAACTAAAGAACATTTTCATCAATAAACGTCAACATTAGAAGACGCGACTAATGAAATATTGACGTGCGGCATACTTTTCCAATTCCACCTGCGCGCACCTAGTGACTGCAGTAGCAGTTCACCCGCGGCATGGATCTTACTGGTCTTCTTTCAAAGACTCCCTCTATAAGACGGGGTCTGTGCAAGACCCTTAAAATTTAGACAGGAGAAGAACCCAAAATGTATGTGTATGTGCGCCCCGTCATCATAAATCCACTTTGATGATATTGCGCACAATTTGGGTAACTTGCTTATTATCTGGGGCACGTTTTTTTCGTAATTAGTAAATAAATACTGTTGTATTACTTGGTTGAATGTGTACATTTATTCAAAATATCTTTTACCGACCACAGTCAAAACATCGTTCCACAAAGTATCACTTTTGAAGTATTTCGTCGCCGATTGTCAATCCAGCTACTTCGAATCTGAATAGAGCTGTGATATAAGAAACACAAAACGCACATGTAGTTTAGGCGAGGATCGGAAGCACAATTGTGTGGCCGAAGATAGATGAAGTGATTAAAAATTGGCAGTGACTGACTCCACCGGTCAAAGTCAGAATCGTGGTGAAGTGCTTTTAAAAGAAAAAGTACCTGGGGACCATCATGATGACAGGACACGAGGACAGCTTCGGGGAATCGATATTTGAAGGAAAAGGGCGCAAAAAAGACTGTATCCTCAGCAAAAAGGAACCTGCTGAGCCGATCAAGCAGAAGACCCTTGCCAAATACCAGTAAAGAGGAACAGAAAGATGATAATTTAAGACCTCATTGGTCGACCCGGTCCACAACATTAAACTGTGATTTTAATTGGTTGATCTCGGTTATTGAGATAGATCGCGACCCTTCATTTGTAGACCTGGCCCCTTGTCGGTACACCTGGGTCGTTCATTGGTACACTTGGGTCCCTTGCTAGTAGACTTGGCCCCTCATCGGTAAAAATTGGTCCCTCACCGGTGGAACAATGTCCTTCGAACCATTGGCTGCTCCTGACCAATTACAGATCATAAGGTAAGGATAAAGTGAAGAAGGTATCGGATAAGGCGATATTTACATATTACACAATTTGTAATCTACGTGGCCCAACTTCGAAGTGCTTTAGAGACTTAATAAGTCTACTCGCCTGTTCCGGGGAAGAAGATATACTCTGTCCTCTCCTTGAATACATTTGTGAGGTAACACTCAAGTGCAGATTGATCCCTAGAAAATAATTGGTTTGTGGTATCGACGAGTAGTAACATTACCACAAGACCCGCTATCAAGAGCGGTCTCCGTACCTTGCGGTTGAGTAGCAAAATTGATGAACATGAGGTTTGAACACCCAAGACAACAAGGAAAAAGTCAGAAGCGAAAATATCTCAAAAGAACTTGGTTATAAGGCCGCTTATTATTGGGTCGATTGAGTGGCCACATACTGGCCCACCCAGAACAGAACATTTTTTGTGGCACAGGCACCTCATTCATGAGCCGATTATTTTTTCCCTCTCCAACCAAGTACACCTAAGGGTGCAACATGGTAGCCGAAGAAAACACAGAGTTTTTAGAAGTTTATACGCGGAATCCGGAACCCCGTCCCGTAAGTAGGCAGTAGGCACAGTGAGTGTTTCAGAAGCTCAACGCGATTGTTTTGAAGAGAAAAAATAAACCCTACCACGCAGTGGCGATCAACTATAGACGGTAGCAATCAACTTTAGCATCCTATATGGTCTTAGCTCACTCACCTTCTAAATATTAAAAGGCGTTGTTAAACTCATCATGTATTTCCAAGTCCGACTTCTCTATTGGACCTCTTTACAGCTTGCGCGAATAATAAACTAGAGCAGTCACGTACCAGGCTACACAAAGCCTGTAATTGTAAATAATAAGTTTCTTCCACTGACATAATTGTTAGCAGGTGACTAAAACACTTAACGTACACGTACGTGCAGCTACAATATATGATAATTAGAAGATGCATCAATGAAAGATAAAATTTGCTGTGTATTTAGTATAGCTACTATTCAACAGATGGTGCACTTAATCTCATTTGTGGTATATCTGAACATGATTGTGTATTGTTACTATCTGCCACTGCTCATGTGCACGTCTGTTATGGCCCGATGTTAATTGCTACCATAGCTATTTATTTTGTTATGTAAAAAAGATCATCGCTGCAAAACAAACATTTCTGCCAATTTTTATTAGTATAAACAAAAAATATTTGCTACCATTATTGCAATCCCGGAGAGTGTAGACATTAGTTACCGTGCGCATGTTTAACACCGAAACTGTAAATCATGCTTATCTAAGTGTGTCTGCGTGTCTGTACATAAATCTAAATGTACCTTAAATGTCGTGCTAAGAGCAATTGAGAATGTAAGCCTCTCAAAGGTTAAAGTCGTATCTGAATTCACTCTTTAGCTTGCTCACTTTTGTGACTCACGCAGTTGATTTGCTACAAATCGATTAAAGGTGAATATGATTATATAAGCTTTTTTGGATCCAGGATGCGCCAATTCAATTCGGATTTATAAATATTAGAATGTACCTGGAAAAGGCCGATCGCGTTTCCTGGTTATACTGTTCAGGATTTACGTGCATCGAACTCATCGTCATCATTATTCTGTGACTGTTGTCGTATTTCATTTCGCATTCAAATTAATTAAGGACGGCCTAGGCGTACACTTCCTAATAACTACGCGCACCCCCCCCCCGTGATATCTAATTTTTTTTCCGACTAAATGCGAGCTATCCTCCATTCAATCATTTTATCTCTCTGTTCCTTGCTCTTCCGGCAATGCTAGCACCACCTCCCAAGCATACTGATCCTTCTCTTGATGATGCTCAGTTGGCAGTAGGGCGGTTTAAACTTGACCCTTGCTACACTGTGGGGGTCAGCACCACAATTTTACCCCATGAGTATCTCCATTCAATGCCAACACTGTCATCACTCACCGCACAACAAGAAATCCTACAAAGTTTTAGTCATCTGCCCCAAAAAACAGCCATATCCATACCCTTTCCATCGCCCTTCAAGTGGCCGAATAGCGTCTTGCAAAATGCTTGTGCCAACCTGTTGTCGTGCACCTCCGGAACCATTTCCTCATCTACATACCATCATCCAGTAACACCATTCACACGTGACGCCCACAGCATACCATGCCAAACCATTTAAAAGAGCTCCTACCTTCACTCCCGTAAACCTTCAGATTGACATACTGAACATCTACTCCGTCCGACTCCCTACCAGCCCATACAATTGTCCAGTCAATACCTCCCATTCCCTCACCATCACCCCCACAGCACAACCACAACCGCAATGACTTGACATCGTGCAGACACGTGTCGCTGCCTGTCGCGTCAATCACGAGCCCCAGATTCACTACAGACCCTGAGCGCGTGCCGACAATCATTTGCTCCATCACCACCGACGGCGCGTGACTCTTTCGACTGAAAAATGGATCTCTTAGCTAATAAACAACAGCACAAAAAAAGAGAGACACACGAGAGCGTAAGCACGGGCCACGCCGCTGACGGAACAGCATCTCAAGTACATAGACGCGAGCGGGGCGCGCATGTATAAACGCGGCGCGCTCTTGAGGCGCGTTGTGTACGGCAGCGTGCGCGCGGCGTCCCAGCGCAGCATCTTGCGCTTGGCTGCGCGGGTGACCGCGCCCTCGCTGTTAATGCTGTGGCTTCAACACAGTGGAAAAGAGAGTGATGATCTCTTGTGGCTTCTTCCGCGCGCTAAATTTAGGTTGCTGGTCAGCGCGAGAGAAAAATTAATCTCGCTTTGTAGAAAACGAGAGGGTACACAGAACGATTAGACGATTAGACATACGGAGGATGGTGTGCGCGCAGTTATTAGGGGGTGTACGCCTAGACAGCCCCATTAATTATACGAACTGATGTACATAAATAGAAGGGCAAACATTAAGGCTTGCTTTCCTATTTTAAATCCATTGAAGTTAACCGCAATGAAAAATTCTCTTGTGTATACGTTATGTGACGAACGTGCTCCGTTAAAGATCTCTTTTGACGACTCCACGTGCAGACTTGCACCTTTGTACTCCAACAGAAATTATTTTATTTCGCTTTCTCTAATCGGAATCAGCATTTACAGCGGGTGCCGCAAAGATCGTTACCAATAGATAAAAAAATTTCGATAGAATTAAATGAAGAAGTGTGTAGTGTGTCGTCGTCCTTGGATTTGTATCGTTTGTAGATCTGCCATTTGCCGAGACGTATGCATATCACGACTAAACCTGACTCATAATATACGCGTCTGTACTTAAGCTATAGCGGAGTTAAGTACAAAGTACCTAAAGTCATTTCTTTGATAAGTAAAAGGGTTGGTGAAGACAATTATTATGAATCTGCGAAGTCATGAGTTAAGCAGGCTTTCAATACGTAATAATGTTCTTTTGAGGTAAGAAAAATCACTTGTTTACAATTACCATTCGTATTTTAATATTTACACGTCTAATTTTACTGTCATCGATGCACAAATGCTCAAATTTGTCAGCAGGAGACCTCAAATATTATAAACGAGCCAGTGTGTAATATTGAAGTGAGCCTTTAACAAGTTTGGACTTTAGACCACCCTGCTAACTATCTCTCAAATGATTTATCAGCTTGCTAACATTAAGATGTGATACGGATAACGAGCTTGCCGCCAAACGCCCGAGAGTCGCTTGAAAGTCAAAAACAGATTTAAAGTGTCAACTCGGGTGCTTTTATTTCACACAAGGGATATAAACTTAATTGGAGAAATTATTGAGGCCGAAGGAATGTTGTTTATTGAACGCCTTAAAGTGCACAGTTCAATATTCAGCCCTCCAGTGGATATTCGCTACGTCAGCAGCAGCGACCCAAGGTACACAGCATCTGGATTCTAGGCAATAGGGTTGTTAAAAGTGAGGTGGCCATGAAAGCAGCATTGTTTAGACTTCGGACTGTGATTACTCGTTAATAGCTAGAGGATGTTAAATCATTGACGAAACCAATATTTTGGGAATCGAGATTGTAATTCAGGTTGATGCTTTACAATGCTAAAACTGATTTAGGTCCACAAAGAATACATATTTTAATAAATTGGTTGCGTACAAAGAGATTGAGTGTCAGGATCTTGTGAAACAGAAGGTCAAGATTAATTTACATCTAGAAAGGGAGATAAATTGTGTGAAGTTGTCGGTCTGATATTAGTTTACATCCCTAATTTTTAGGTAGGTATCTCTATTGCCTAAACGGCCAACGAGAATAGTAATTCAGATGACCACCTGAACGGCTGCCACTACTCAGAGCACCCTACTTTCTTGTATTCACAGATTTAGTACACTCAGACACCAAGTCACCCTCAATTGTGCATTATAATACAAACATACAATTTTCTTAGCTTAGAAGCATGATAGAAACTCATAATTTTCCGATAGTTAAAAGTTACGAGTTTTGAGTTAGCGACCGTAGAACGAGCATGGAGGAACGTAATTGGTACAAATTATATGAACTAGGAGGATGTAAGTTATGTGTGGAATAACCGTGTTGATTATGATTACCGCTCTTACCAGTGTAAAATAATAGAATAAGCTCTGATGTAACGGGGCACCCTGAAGCTTGTACTGGTGACAGTACAAGCTACTTATTCTGATGACAGAATAAGGCGGTGCCTCGGAACTTCACGTACACTAGTACGTGCAGAGGAAGACGGTAAGAAGAAGCGAGTACTTGGTTAGAGTAAAAAGTAGAACTGTATTTATAATAGTTAATGTCTGCAATAAATCACTATTTATCTTCATCTAACTATGTCTAAATACAAATGTGTAAACCAGTTATCTGCTCACCACTCATTGCGTGCGTCTGTCGTGGCGCGTCTTCGTTCGTTGATATAATGGCTTATATCAACCAATTAGGAACTACTCGTAAGTGCTACAGAATATTTGTCCTTATGACAATGTTCTGAGAATATAACTCTTATAGTTATATTCTATTAACAATTTCTTATAAATTACTATGTAACGATTCACCCCGTTACATCACCCCCCCCCTTAACCATCAGTCACTTTAGTGACTGATTGACTAAATGGATACTCGTCCCAAATCATTTGGGACAGGGTTTGCACTTGTTGGTCCGCGTCCACTTTCCAACATTTCATCGCATGGTAAACAAGCCCATGCGATGCGCGAGCAAGGCCGCCGAGAGCGCGTCTGCACGTCTCTGTGCGGACGCCGAAGCAGAAACAACAGCAACTGATATCTTATTGGTTGCTGAAGCGACTCAGCCTCTGTCACCTGGTGATGCAGGCGCTCGTCATGAAGACACTCATGTCTTCACAGAGTACGAGCTCGGTGTCTCCTACATCCTGATACGGATGACGGATCCGTATCGACGGCGATTGAATCTAAGCCGCCTGCCAAGCGTGGCATGGACGATGCTACGCGTCCTAGCATCTTTGATTCATCTGATTCATCAGATGAACCATCGCCGAAGCGAAGGCGCTCGAGGTCGCGAGACTCGGGCGCTAATAGTGGTGTCGGTTCTCCTATTGACACCACTTCACAGCGAGGTGCCAGTACTTCTGTCGGCACGTCGCAGGAAGAGCGGGACCGCAATGTGTTGCGTCTCGCTCCAGAAAAGAAGGCATGGATGCCTCCCAAATCAGTCATGGATCACTTGTCGGCGGCGACGAGTGATCGTTATCGAACACGAATGTTCGATTCGTCTAGGATCCATCACCTTGACCCCAGCGCGAAAAACTATCGCGCTGAACATGAATTCTTCATCGATGCTTTCTTCAGACATCGATGGTACAGTGGGAACCACAAGCGTGATGGTCCCTCACTACTTCAAGCGTGGAACGCCTACATCCATAACCTTGAGGATGTAGGTCGTGACGCTTGGAACGACAAACTTATCAAAGCTCGTGATAAGTTTGAAAAGCGAACCCCGACAGGTGCACGCTACAAGCTGCATCGTCTGTCAAGGGAGAAAGGATTACCCTGCCTCTCTTGGGGAGACTCGTGCCCATGTTGTGTGAACAACTCTGCACGAGCACCTAAGGAGGCTTACCTCCTTACCAGCCCGTGGTGGCGCGTACGTGTCTCTACTGAGATGTAAGAAGGGATTGACAACCTGAAATCCCTTTACGACCGTGCCGGGAAGACTTTCTCCGGCGGTCCTTCTGCGGCACAGGATGTGCCGCGTCGTACTGCTCAACCAGACCCAGTACGTCGATCATCAGTTGGAAGCGGGGCTCCCAAGAATCCCAGGACGGGGGATAGCCGCGCCACCGGACGAGATAACTCGTCCGACGTCCGTTCACGTCGCGGTGGTTCAACAGCTGCTCAACTAGATAGCGCTGGCCACCGCGAGAGTCCTCTAATGGAGGTGGAGGAGGAGGAAAGACGCTCTCCACACGATCATGTGGATCGGTGTGTTCCCGAGAGCTTCTTTGATCGCGAAACGCAAGGGTTACGCGACGATCTCGAACATGAGCGGAATAGGCGTCTCCAACTGGCGGACGCTGTCTCGAGGCATCGAGATGAGTTTGCCTTTGCTCAGCTTGAGAACGAGAGATCTCTGACATCTCTTCGTGACGAGCTAAGGGTAGCTCGTGGGATTGCTGATCGGTCTCGGGATGAGATAGCTGCTCTTCAGACCCTTGTTGATGCCCACCATCGGGAGCACAAGGCTCTCTGCGAGATGCTTGAGCGCAAGGGCGTTCTTCATCGGAAGAAGCAGCGTACTGATGGTACGGCTTAAGCCGACCAACGTAAAACGTGGGATGCGTTCGCATCTTACGTGGTAACTCGATCGTGTATGCATTGCCTAGGCGGTGCAATACACGAAATGGGCCAATGTACTTGGGTAGTAGTTTACTACTACCCAAGTTAGTCACTACATGCTTTGGTAGATTAACCGTAGACAGTAGGACTAAGTCACCTTTATTAAATAAAAGAGTGTTTGCCCTTCCATTCTTGTCAGCGTTTTGCTTTTGCTTATCCACCGCTTCGGCGATGGAGTCTTGCACAAAACGGACTACCGTTTCACGAGCCAGTATGAACTCATCTGATGACTCGTTAGCTTCAGTGTGCTGTGAGCGCACTGCAGCAACATCAACCTTTTCTTCAGTGAGGGCTTCCGCACTCTCACTGGGATCATCTTCTTCAGTGAGGGCTTCCGCACTCTCACTGGCATCATCTTCTTCGATATCGATGTTATCGATATCGGCATCAAACGCAATGACTTCTTCGTCAGAGCGTGATGAGCGTGAACCAAATCGGTTTTTGCTCGCGCGAGTCCCTCCCCCCTTAAACCAGAGTTACACTCTAGTAAGGTGGGTACACGCGGATGGCGCAAGCCATTCACGTAAAACGGTGTATGTGTCGTGGACGCATGCACCGAGTTGTTAATGGCAAGCTCTACCATTGGCAAAAGCTCACTCCAACTCTTAAAGGAGTGTACGTATCCTCGAAGTATTTCTTCAAGGACACGATTGGCACGTTCCGTCTGACCATCTGGCTCTGGATGATCAGATGTCGACATCTTCAAGCGCGTTCCGAGTGATTTGAACACGGAACGCCAGAAATCAGCAGTGAATCGTGGATCTCTGTCTGATACGAGTTCACGGGGCAACCCATGAAGTCGGAAGATGGTGTCAATAAAGACACAAGCACAGCCACTTGCCGTGATTGTCTCTGGCACAGCCACGAGGTGTACCATTTTGCTGAATCTGTCAACAAATACGAGAATACCCGTATTCCCGCGTGCGTCTTTGGGTAACCCGAATACGAAATCCATTGAGATGGATTCCCAGCACTCAGCCGGAACCGGTAGAGGCTGTAAAGGTGCACGCAGTGAAGGACTTGACTTCACTCGTTGGCAGACTTCGCATGCGCGAACATACTTGCGCAAAAAACTGAGGGGCGGAGCCAGTGAAATTCTTGTCTCACAGTGAGATATGTTTTCTCACGGCCACGATGTCTTCTTATAGGAGCATCGTGATACTCGAACATGATCCGCAAACGCAGATCAGTATCATCTGGAATGACAACACGTGGTGTGTCACCAGAAACGGCTGTATAATACAGTAAACCGTTACGAGCAGTGTATCGATCTGATGCAGATCGATACGCAGACGACAATCGTTTCAACGATTCTCGAGATGGTTGGGAGAGATGTGCCAACAACTTCACAATCTCACCATCTTGGGCATACGCCCGCCTCACATCATCATCATACAACGTTGTAGATAGGACTGAGGACGTCATAACCGCAACAGTGACTGTCTCACTGTTGGGTTTCGCGACTGTTTCAAAGTCGGGACGACGTGAGAGTGCATCAGCGACGACATTAAGTCGTCCTGGTTTGTACTCGACCGTAAAGTTGTATTCCGCAAAGAATGACATCCGCCGCGCCATTCGTTGTGAAAGATGCGGGCTGTTCACTGCCGTGCGTAATGACGCATGGTCAGTGTAAACAATGAAGGGTCTATCTCCTAATAGATAGACTCTGAACTTCGCGAGTGCATACTTCATGGCAAGGAGTTACTTGTCATGCACTGGATAGTTCCGCTCAGCTGGTTGCAGTTGACGCGACTGATAGCAGACGACGCGTTCAACGCCTTCAAGATCGTATTGCATTAATGCACAGCCGATTGCGAAATCGCTGGCATCACAGACCACATGAAATGGCCTGTCCTGATCGGCTATTGCTAGGACTGGGGATGTATCAAGCTCTGCTTGATACCCTCAAAGGAGCGTTGACATTCAGCGTTCCATAACCACCTCTCGTTCTTTTTCAACAAACAAAAGAGGTGCACAGTCATCTCGGCGTAATTGCGTGAATACTTATGCAAATACGCCGCTAGCCCAAGGAATTTTCGAAGACCTTTGACATCGACCGGCACAGGCCAGTCGGTGATCGCCTTGATCTTTTCGGGATCAGGACGTACACCGTTCTTACCAACGATGCACCCAAGAAGTGGTATTTTGCTTGCTGCAAATATACACTTCTTGAGGTTAGCATACAATTGATGCTTTCGCATGATTGTAAGAACTTGTCGGACGTGGTATTTCGCTTGCTGCAAATATACACTTCTTGAGGTTAGCATACAATTGATGCTTTCGCATGATTGTAAGAACCTGTCGGACGTGGTACCTGTGAACCTCAACGTCCGACTTTCCATCCATAGCTCGACTATGGATGAATACGTCATCGAAATAACTCGGCGCGAATTCTCGTACTGGCCTCAACAGATGTGATACACACCTGTTGAACGTGGCAGGGGCATTACTGAGCCCTTGTGGCATTACTAGCCATTCCCAGAGCATGCCGCTAGGCGTGCTAACTGCGGTATAGGGTATATCCCGTTCCCGCATAAGGATTTGATAGAAGCCATCCATCAAATCCATGGACGAAAAGATGGTACTCTTTGACATACCATCAATGATTACGTCCTTCCTCGGTATCGGCGTCTGAGCCGGTACCGTTGCAGCGTTCAATTTGTTGAACGCGTGCACTATCCGCCACCCTCCTGTTGCTTTTCGCACACAGAAGGTCGGAGAGCTATGTGGGGAAGTTGATTCCCTCACATGGCCCGCAGCTAAACGATCGGCAAAGAACTTGTCGATCGCAAGTACTTGTTCACGAGGCAGTGGCCACTACTTCATGATACAGTACTTCGAGCCTGGTTTAAGCTCGACCTCGTGTCGAATACCTTTATCCTTCGGTAATTCGCACGGAACAGTTTCAGGGAATACATCCTTGAATTCAACCAAATCTTCATAGAGAGGATTTTTCTTGAGCGATTCCCATGATTGGGAGTCATATCGCTCAATTCGTGTCTTTTCATCTAGGACACTCTCGTCCATAGATGAACTACTGAGAATTCTCTCGTTCTCAGTAAACACTGTTGCTGACCTTATTTCGGTTACACACTCGTCGTCAGCGACGAGTATGCAGATCTGATTGACTTTGCCACTACGCAGATCACGCAAAAACCTTTTATGTTCGAGCGTTGGCAACTGAGTGATCTCCGAAGTTAACTTCGGAGGCGCAATCAGATCAAGTGTATAAGCGCCCACACTTGATCCGTTATTGACTATGACATTCAATGTCTCTGTCATTTCCTGGGGACTTATTCCCTCAGGCTTCGAAGGACTTATTCCTTCGGCTTCCCGGGGACTTATTCCCGCGGGTTTCGGGGAACTTATTTCCGCCGTATTTGTAATCTTGGGACTTATTCCCTTTACTTCCTCTAGCTGGGGTTGCGCAACCACAGCGAGATCCTCTACGAAAGACTCTCCAGTCGATCTAGGATTATCGTTTCGCTTAACCTGAGCGATCGATTGTTTCTCTTCTAGATGTTCCCCGCTAGGGATACATCTTTGTCCCAGTCCACCCGACTTATTCGAGTGGTGGACCTTCGGCGCAGCCTGTGTTTCCTCACAGCCGCCGGAACTTTGCTCCGAAGTGTAACCGTTTGGTACACTGAGGTTTTGTGCAGTCGTACTAACGACCGTACCACAAGTGAGTCCATCGCACTCACTCGTAGTCCATCCACACGCTTGTGGACGCTCCAAAACGTTCATCAGATGGCCATCTGATGAACAAGCGGCAGGCATCGTTACTGTTCGATGTTGCCAGTTTACCCGTGGTTCGTACCTTCTGAGCCACGGTATTCCAAGGATGACATCAAATTTGTCATCCAAATCCAATACGATAAAGTCATCATCATATTGGGTATCTTCTAGCGTATAGTGGATCTTCACTATACGCTTCATGACGGTTACGGATGCGCCTGTCGCAAGACGTACCGTCATCCTCGTAGGAGGTGTGTCACATTCACTGAATTTAAAGTGACCATCTTCTAGCGATTGGCGTCGCACAAAATTGTTGGACGCCCCACAATCGACTAGAGCTCGAAGGGACAACTTATTCGTCACTTCGAGTTTCAAGGTAATGAGTGAGACCTCATTACCTAGAGCAGCAACGCACAACGTTTGTGTGTTGGGAGCAACCTTCATCAAGAGGCCTACAAATTCTCTTGACGTTGCTAGACCAGTAGGGTGCTCCGCACCTACTGATCCTGTCCGTTTTTTGACGGTCCATCCCGTTGTTGCGTCTTTGCACCAACTGCGGACCCTCGTCCCTGCCCCTTTCTCATGGGTGGACGGTCACTACGCCCAGTGTCGCGAGACACTGGACGAGGGGCACTACACTCGTAAGCGTAGTGTCCTGTCTTTTGACATCTGTTGCATCTCTGCAACTTCTTGTAGCCTGTAGAGCGAGCCTTCTCGCTCTCTACATAACAGAGTTCCATCGGCTCTGGACCTCCGTTGTCATATCGTCTCGGTTGACGATATGATGTCGAGCTGGCGCGAGCCTGTCTCAGACTGAAGTCTTCCTGCTCCGCAATGGAAATGGCTTGTTCTAGTGAATCTAGGTCAAGTCGGAACAGGTGAGTCTTGACGGGACCATCCGCAAGACCCTGCATGAACACCGAAACCAACGTGTGTTCATCCACCGGATTGGAACTTATACAACTCGTGAGATGTCGTATATGTTGAGCGTAAGCGTGCACATCACGCTTACCCTGCTTGAGCTTCAAGAGTTCGGTTCGAGCCCTGAACTCAGCTCTAGGCGGTTCAAACGTTTGTCTGAGCCGCGACTTGAAGACTTCCAACGACCCAAACGCATATGGGTCGTGCAACTTGAGCCCCAGTGCCCAAGTCTTGGCACGTCCTGCCAGATTTGACTGGGCAAATGCAACTTGCATATCCCCGTCGTCGATGCGACGCGCCCTTATGGCGTCATCCAATTCGACGAACCATCTCAAGAGGGAGTCTTCTTCGACCCCCCTATACTTTGAGATGTCAATCTTCAAGGTTTCGGGTCGACGCGAGTGCATCGACCCACCAGCAGCAGCCTGCTGCTGTCTCAACAGTTCAAACTGTTGAGCACCCTGTTCTCTCAACAACTCTGCTTGTTGAGAACCTTGTTGGTGAAGCAAGGCTACTTTCTCGCGTTCTGCGTCAAGTTCATTTTGAATGAACTTGGCGATAGTAGCATGTTGGGCATCTCTATTGAGAGCCTCTAGCATGACGCTAACAGCATGGATGCCCATGGTCGAACCCATTCGTTCAACCGCATCCCATTCGACATCGCTCAAATGGGAGTAGCCGTCACGCGTAGCGTGAAAGCTTTGGTCATCTTCATCATCCAACATATTCATGTTAGATGTGAACGTGGTCCTTGGACGGACTACAAAGTGCTACCAGGTGTAACGGGGCACCCTGAAGCTTGTACTGGTGACAGTACAAGCTACTTATTCTGATGACAGAATAAGGCGGTGCCTCGTAACTTCACGTACACTCGTACGTGCAGAGGAAGACGATAAGAAGAAGCGAGTACTTGGTTAAAGTAAAAAGTAGAACTGTATTTATAATAGTTAATGTCTGCAATAAATCACTATTTATCTTCATCTAACTATGTCTAAATACAAATGTGTAAATAAACTATCTGCTCACCACTCATTGCGTGCGTCTGTCGTGGCGCGTCTTCGTTGGTTGATATAATGGCTTATATCAACCAATTAGGAACTACTCGTAAGTGCTACAGAATATTTGTCCTTATGACAATATTCTGAGAATATACCTCTTATAGTTATATTCTATTAACAATTTCTTATAAATTGTTATGTAACGATTCACCCCGTTACATCTGAGGCCTTGCTGTCTTTAAGGAGGGGATATGCTACGTACTAGGACGTCATGTAAAGTACACCTAGCGTTATATACATAAAAGCACACTCAGAAAGGGACAGTCTACATCGCACTTAGTACAACGTGTATTGTACAGTTAGCGTTTTATGTAGACACTCTTCAAAGGGAACGGTAAAATTACATCAAGTTTGACGTGCAAGGCACACTCAGCGTACTGTATAGATCCACATATCGTAGGTAGGTTACTAAAGTTCGGCATTTTCTCGCCACCAGTCACAAATAGCTTCACTTCTAGGGCTTGCCAAAACTAAACAGTCTGACCAATCAGTAGCCTCCAAAGCCAAGAACTTATTTTACGCCTGAGAGATGAAGGTACAAAGTAAAAACTGAATGCTCATCATCAGCTCCGCATGTTGACAGAATAAGACGGCAAAAAGTATAACATGTTCTAAAAAGGCTATAAAATGAAGGGCGAGATTTTTCCAAACATCTATACTGTAGTGAGACGTGGACACTGGCAGCCTTCAATCGGAGATGTGCATCTCGTCCCCTAACTCGAACCCACTAAACCCTGATTTAAATTCAAGATTCTGATTTATGCTCTTATTTTGGCACAACTCTTGTTCTTTGTATGATGGATGCATCCTGTCCAGTCGATAGGCCCACGACTGCGCGTCCGGTCGTTCGGCTCTTACTATTCAACTTATCAGTCCGCCTTTTGACTAACCGAGTACATCAAGGAACGGTCACCGCCTCCAATGAAGGTCTTGGGCTATCTTTCCGCGGCTGTGGCCGCAATCCATTGCAATTTGGCGGTCAGTCAAGATTGTTCTAAGGCGTACCGCTACGAATTTCTTCCCGACATGTCGAAGAACGCTGCAGCTGCCGCTTGCGTAGGCAGCCCAAACCACCGTGCATGCTGTTTTGACGAAGTGTTCAAGAGAATTTGCGCTAAAATCCACATTTGCGACGACGACATATCGATCATACAGGTATCAAGTGAATGTGCAGGCGACTATCAGAGGATGGGACAAGAAGCATTTCAAAATTGCTGCAATAGAAAGTGCAATCCCCCGGGCTAAACAGGCGTGATGGACGCAGATCTACCTCATCATTGGGTAACAGCATACTTTGATGATACTGAGTCGCGATCAGTTACACGGCGGTGATCATGTTGGCCACCATCGCTGCGTGAGCACATATTCCCATTGTCGACAGCGCATTTACTGTTGCGTTTGTTCTAATGAACCAGAATGGCTGTTACTTGCCTCCCTTTTGTGTTTTCTTAGCATGGCTCATATTATTCATAGTCGCGCATCAACGTCTTTTCGGCTTGCCTCGTTCAAATTGACTTTAAAGCTTTTAGCTTTGGTTTCGACTAGTTCACAAGAAGCAGTACTATTAGAGTCGTAGGACTTACGAGAAAGAGATGCATTTGCCAAGTGGCTGTTCAATCTGTCTTCGCAGGTGACGACACAACCCGCGACGCGATCCAGATCATCACCGCTGCGCCGCACGAAGCAAAAGTAGCAAGTAAGTCGACAACGATGATGACCGCAATGTCCATCGATCAGGATGAACCGTATTCGACGACCACACAGGTGGGTCTCCTTTCCTTTCATCCCCCTCCCTCTCTCTCTTCCGCACTTCTGACTGTGTATCAGTCAGGCCCATAACACGCAGACGCTAGTAGATGGCCAGACACTACTCCACGAATGCCTCTATACCTCATGCAATGCATCAGCAGCGGTGGCTTGTCGTCGTCATGCGTCCACCATGGACCCCGTCCACTCATTCTTTCCTTTATGTACCTCATCTCCCTCTCTCTCTTTGCTCTGTCATCACCAGCTCTTTGGACGTCCACACGAGCGCCACGTGGCTATGGAGTTTGTCCGTCAGCAAGAGCTCAACACTTTGACGCGCGGGAAGCAGCTATTTTCAGTGACCGGTTTGCGGCTCAAGCTTGTGCTGGTTGGTGCTCGACGTTATGGCAGCTCGATAGAAAAATGGCGTCCACTTATGTCGGTCACTATCGTCTGCTTCTTGTGCTGCTCCTACTGCTTTCAGCGATGCGTCTGCTGACAACGTCCGGGGGACGAAGACTAATTTCGAGTCGTGCTGAAGCTCCTAGGGCCTCCCGTGCTCGAAGTGGGACGGTAGGGTTCGTGGCGTCAAGTGCTCAGTGGAGCGTCAGTCCCTTGGAATCTGACACTGCAGCTCTTGAACCGCACACGGCAAATGTCTGCTCTTGATGTACTTGTGGCAAGGACGCAGTAGACACCTGGAAGCACTGGAGGCAGGACGTGGATCGACCTGATGTGACCGAAATGTTGGTAACACCTGTGTCTTTACCAGACATACGGCAGATGGTGGTGCATCTTTACGGAGGACTAGCTTTCTCCATGACCAGGGGCTCATCCACGCAGACGTTATGCCAGAAACGTGGTGCAGTCCAGTCCAGAAGCTCCGCTGCGACCGCCGACGTGGGCGTCCTTGGCACCAGTCAAGTAATGGACTTTGGCAACTACTTGGAGGCGGACAAGCTAGCGGCGTATGCTGACGTGGACGCTCGTAACGGCTTTGACGTGCATACCGCCACGTATCGTCCTCCAAAAGTGGACGCAGGTCTCTTGCTCTGCTCGGTCATGGATATATGGTCGCTCAGCTGCCAAAACGGAGACACCGGCTCGTAATAAGGACTTGCGTCAAGTGCTTAGAGCTATACCGCGACACCGCTTGTCACTTCTGCCACACTGACGTCCGGCTATAGCGCCAACTGGATGATAATGTCGTCGTCTGCTGTTGCCAGCACACGGCCACCTCACGGCTTCATAGTCCAGGAGTCCGAGTCTGCGGTGGCTGGGGCTCCTCGAGCGCGCTTATACCATGCGGCCTCGAAAACTTGTACACACACTGTCTTTGCCTCGACACTTTCGCGGAGGGCGCGAAAGACCGCCTCCGTGCAGAGTTCTGCAATGTCAGCACCCGTGAATGTTTGGGAGCTACGATGAAGAAGCATCACGAGATCAGTCGGGTTAGTATTGAACGCTGTTCAGCGGTAGCAGTTGACACGAATGCAGTGTACTGAATCCTCTTGGTCGCGCCGCAAGTCCTTGGATGTACACGTCTGAAGCGAGCGGCATTTCTCTCGTGTAAGCATAAAGAATTCTTGGTTGGCACAAGCATCGCTTTGGCACTGTAGTCTCACAGATGACCACTTGTAATGGTGCAGCGTACCTCAGTGTCTTCTTGCGTTTAAAATCTCGTCTCGACAGTCGTGCCGATTCGACCAGGACGGATCAGGGCAGCGTTTAGCGCATCGTTCCGGTTTGTTGCAGCCACGAAAAGGATGTCACAGCTATCGACAGCAGGTGACTTCTTGACACGTGAAGTGGATACGCCTACTCGTTGTGAACCCACACAGTCCATTTCGTTCAGGAAGGTGGAAAGCACTCGGGAGTAGACTCCTCCACCACTGCTGCCTCCATCGTTTCCAACAAACGATCGCTTGCGAGCGATGGAATCAATTCGTCAAAAGTAAGAGACACGATGACGCGGCACGTGCTCGAGCTGCAAGCAAGCAGCAGTTGTAAGCACACAGCAAGATCTTCTGAACAGACTTGAGTACGGTACTTCAAAGACGTACCGAAAAGCTGGCGAACTCCTTTTTCGCTTTCTCCAAAGTACATGGACAGCAACTCTGATGACTGACTTCGGACAAAAAAACCGATAGGGTGAGCCAACTACTGGTTGTTGCCACAAAGGTTATAATGACAATGTAGCTTAACTCACCTTCACAGATACAAAGTTGACTCGAGCTTGAGCAGCCACAATTTACACAAACAGCGTCTTACCGCAGCCTGATGGACCTGACAGCAATATCCCTGACGCCTCGGATATGGTCTAGCGCTACAAAGATCAAGATCGTCAACAGATAAACGATGCGATACCCAGTGTGAACGAAAGAAACATCAAACGTACGCTCATCGCTGCGGTCGGGTGGAAGTTTCGAGTGATGACGTCTCGCAGTTGCTGTTGAACAGCAGCATAGCCAGCAAAAGCAAGATTTCCATCCCTTTGTGCACCACGCGATGACACGTTCAGCTCTCGCAGCCGAGAAGGTTTGATGTGTTGCTAAGCTCGCAACAGATTGGACCTGTGACAGATGACTCGGTGAAATTGCCATCAAGAGTCGATGTGGCACGCGCTTGAGCAGTCGCATATCGACAGATACGACCAAGATCTTTTGCCACGTGGCCCCCCTTTAATGCCGCCAACCGCGACGCTAGACTTCCTGCATGGTCATCGCCTTAATTATTTGTTTCACTTTCTAGTGGCAGCCCGACCAAATGCCGCTGCAAGATGTTTCGGCTGGCTTGTTCCATCGTGACGACCAAGTCCACAATTTTGCCGAACCGTCCAGCGCCTTAGCCGGAGGTGGATTGTTCACATCAGCACTTGCAGTCGTCCCAAACACAACAAAACATGTGGAGCACAAACTGAGTTCGTCAATCAATCAGAGAAACGCACTGCCGAGTGATGTAAGCTGCGTCTCGAAACCGTCGGCGAGCTGGCCATCAACCGATTAGAAGAGCACGTCTAAGTCATCGATCAGCACGACGCCAACACATGATGATGTACCGCGTTCTTTCTCGACGTCAGCTAGATATCATAATTTTTGGAAGCGCTGCTTTAAAGCGTAGACCAAGTACCCATAAGCCGTTGGAAATTTCTACCGCCGCCATGAGCAACGGCATAGCGTCAATCCGCTACGTAACAATCCGCTCGTGAACAAGCTTTCGCTGCAGAGCCACTGGTGCTAGCGATTTTTCCACACCTTGTACACCCGAAATCAGTAACCAGTGGCAGCTAATATGGCCCATATCCACGCCGGTATCGAGTCTCCTCTAATCGTGCTTCAGCACGAGTGCAAATTGAAACAAAACGTCTCGCACAAACGCAGTGTATCCTACAAAGCCAGCCTGCCACAGCCGAGTGGTGAGCTCACGCTCGTACGAAGAAACTGACGCTCTAGTGGAATGCTGATCAGTGTCGCGACCTTCTCCGTCATTGCTGCTGTAGACCGCTCGTCAGTCGACACTTCCTTTGTCGCACTCCATCCGTTCACAACAAACGCGTGCAACATTCAATGCAAGTCTCGCTTCTTCTCGATCCCGTCCATCCAAAAGACGTACGTTTCTTCCGGGAGTCTCAACGTCACAAGTCGTCCTTCCTAAAGAGCATTAAGCACTCGTGCAGCACACAGCTGACGATGCACTGCTTTGCCCAGATCAATCTGTCGCTGACAAACGCTCTCGGGCAGCCGCTGAACGGGAGATCCGCCATTGTCCACGCTTCCAGAGGTCGCAATGCCCTGAAGTTGAGTCTGACGCTGCGCGTGTCGCCGTTACTCCCCCGAGCGTGCCGAGCCATGACTTTGGAGCACAAGGCGGGAGGAGGTGAGTGGCTAGAGACAAGCATGACAATATTCTACCAATATTATTCGAAATGGATAATATTGAAGGAATATTATCCCTTTTTGGATAATATTCATGCGCTGCTCCAAGGTTGCTTGATATAAGACATATCAACCACATTTTGCCACCAATCGCTGCTAGACGCGTGCAATGAGTGGTGAGCAGGTTGTCCTAATACGACGGCGTAGTTTTATATAGATAGATAAGGATTGAGTTACATTGATAGCTTAACTGTATTAAATACTGTTCTCTTTTTTACCTTTACTTGACCGAGTTGTTCAAGTAGATTGGCTTCCTCTGTAACGGGGTGAATCGTTACATAACAATTTATAAGAAATTGTTAATAGAATATAACTATAAGAGTTATATTCTCAGAATATTGTCATAAGGACAATATTCTGTAGCACTTCCAAGTAGTTCCTAATTGGTTGATATAGGCCATTATATCAACCAACGAAGACGCGCCACGACAGACGCACGCAATGAGTGGTGAGCAGATAACTGATTTACACATTTGTATTTAGACATAGTTAGATGAAGATAAATAGTGATTTATTGCAGACATTAACTATTATAAATACAGTTCTACTTTTACTCTAACCAAGTACTCGCTTCTTCTTACCGTCTTCCTCTGCACGTACGAGTGTACGTGAAGTTACGAGGCACCGCCTTATTCTGTTATCAGAATAAGTAGCTTGTACTGTCACCAGTACAAGCTTCAGGAGTGCCCCGTTACACCTGGTAGCACTTCGTAGTCCGTCCAAGGACCGCGTTCACATCCAACATGAATATGTTGGATGATGAAGATGACCAAAGCTTTCACGCTACGCGTGACGGCTACTCCCATTTGAGCGATGTCGAATGGGATGCGGTTGAACGAATGGGTTCGACCATGGGCATCCATGCTGTTAGCGTCATGCTAGAGGCTCTCAATAGAGATGCCCAACATGCTACTATCGCCAAGTTCATTCAAAATGAACTTGACGCAGAACGCGAGAAAGTAGCCTTGCTTCACCAACAAGGTTCTCAACAAGCAGAGTTGTTGAGAGAACAAGGTGCTCAACAGTTTGAACTGTTGAGACAGCAGCAGGCTGCTGCTGGCGGGTCGATGCACTCGCGTCGGCCCGAGACTTTGAAGATTGACATCTCAAAGTATAGGGGGGTCGAAGAAGACTCCCTCTTGAGATGGTTCGTCGAGGTGGATGACGCCATAAGGGCGCGTCGCATCGACGACGGGGATATGCAAGTTGCATTTGCCCAGTCAAATCTGGCAGGACGTGCCAAGACTTGGGCACTGGGGCTCAAGCTGCACGACCCATACGCGTTTGGGTCGTTGGAAGTCTTCAAGTCGCGGCTCAGACAAACGTTTGAACCGCCTAGAGCTGAGTTCAGAGCTCGAACCGAACTCTTGAAGCTCAAGCAGGGTAAGCGTGATGTGCACGCTTACGCTCAACATATACGACATCTCACGAGTTGTATAAGTTCCAATCCGGTGGATGAACACACGTTGGTTTCGGTGTTCATGCAGGGTCTTGCGGATGGTCCCGTCAAGACTCACCTGTTCCGGCTTGAACTAGATTCACTAGAACAAGCCATTTCAATTGCGGAGCAGGAAGACTTCAGTCTGAGACAGGCTCGCGCCAGCTCGACATCATATCGTCAACCGAGACGATATGACAACGGAGGTCCAGAGCCGATGGAACTCTGTTATGTAGAGAGCGAGAAGGCTCGCTCTACAGGCTACAAGAAGTTGCAGAGATGCAACAGATGTCAAAAGACAGGACACTACGCTTACGAGTGTAGTGCCCCTCGTCCAGTGTCTCGCGACACTGGGCGTAGTGACCGTCCACCCATGAGAAAGGGGCAGGGACGAGGGTCCGCAGTTGGTGCAAAGACGCAACAACGGGATGGACCGTCAAAAAACGGACAGGATCAGTAGGTGCGGAGCACCCTACTGATCCAGCAACGTCAAGAGAATTTGTAGGCCTCTTGATGAAGGTTGCTCCCAACACACAGACATTGTGCGTTGCTGCTCTAGGTAATGAGATCTCACTCATTACCTTGAAACTCGAAGTGACGAATAAGTTGTCCCTTCGAGCTCTAGTCGATTGTGGGGCGTCCAACAATTTTTGTGCGACGCCAATCGCTAGAAGATGGTCACTTTAAATTCAGTGAATGTGACACACCTCCTACGAGGATGACGGTACGTCTTGCGACAGGCGCATCCGTAACCGTCATGAAGCGTATAGTGAAGATTCACTATACGCTAGAAGATACCCAATACGACGATGACTTTATCGTATTGGATTTGGATGACAAATTTGATGTCATCCTTGGAATACCGTGGCTCAGAAGGTACGAACCACGGGTAAACTGGCAACATCGGACAGTAACGATGCCTGCCGCTTGTTCATCAGATGGCCATCTGATGAACGTTTTGGAAGCGTCCACAAGCGTGTGGATGTACTACGAGTGAGTGCGATGGCCTCACTTGTGGTACGGTCGTTAGTACGACTGCACAAAACCTTAGTGTACCAAACGGTTACACTTCGGAGCAAAGTTCCGGCGGCTGTGAGGAAACACAGGCTGCGCCGAAGGTCCACCACTCGAATAAGTCGGGTGGACTGGGACAAAGATGTATCCCTAGAGGGGAACATCTAGAAGAGAAACAATCGATCGCTCAGGTTAAGCGAAACGATAATCCTAGATCGACTGGAGAGTCTTTCGTAGAGGATCTCGCTGTGGTTGCGCAACCCCAGCTAGAGGAAGTAAAGGGAATAAGTCCCAAGATTACAAATACGGCGGAAATAAGTTCCCCGAAACCCGCGGGAATAAGTCCCCGGGAAGACGAAGGAATAAGTCCTTCGAAGCCTGAGGGAATAAGTCCCCAGGAAATGACAGAGACATTGAATGTCATAGTCAATAACGGATCATGTGTAGGCGCTTATACACTTGATCTGATTGCGCCTCCGAAGTTAACTTCGGAGATCACTCAGTTGCCAACGCTCGAACATAAAAGATTCTTGCGTGATCTGCGTAGTGGCAAAGTCAAGCAGATCTGCATACTCGTCGCTGAAGACGAGTATGTAACCGACATAAGGTCAGCAACAGTGTTTACTGAGAACGAGAGAGTTCTCAGTAGTTCATCTATGGACGAGAGTGTCCTAGATGAAAAGACACGAATTGAGCGATATGAGTCCCAATCATGGGAATCGCTCAAGGAAAATCCTCTCTATGAAGATTTGGTTGAATTCAAGGATGTATTCCCTGAAACTGTTCCGTGCGAATTACCGAAGGATAAAGGTATTCGACACGAAGTCGAGGCTTAAACCAGGCTCGAAGTACTGTGTCATGAAGCAGTGGCCACTGCCTCGTGAACAAGTACTTGCGATCGACAAGTTCTTTGCCGATCGTTTAGCAGCCAGGCCATGTGAGGGGAATCAACTTCCCCACATAGCTCTCCGACCTTCTGTGTGCGAAAAGCAACAGGAGGGGTGGCGGATAGTGCACGCGTTTAACAAATTGAACGCTGCAACGGTACCGGCTCAGACGCCGATACCGAGGAAGGACGTAATCATTGATGGTATGTCAAAGAGTACCATCTTTTCGTCCATGGATTTGATGGATGGCTTCTATCAAATCCTAATGCGGGAACAGGATATACCCTATACCGCAGTTAGCACGCCTAGCGGCATGCTCTGGGAATGGCTAGTAATGCCACAAGGGCTCAGTAATGCCCCTGCCACGTTCAACAGGTGTGTATCACATCTGTTGAGGCCAGTACGAGAATTCGCGCCGAGTTATTTCGATGACGTATTCATCCATAGTCGAGCTATGGATGGAAAGTCGGACGTTGAGGTTCACAAGTACCACGTCCGACAAGTTCTTACAATCATGCGAAAGCATCAATTGTATGCAAACCTCAAGAAGTGTATATTTGCAGCAAGCGAAATACCACTTCTTGGGTGCATCGTTGGTAAGAACGGTGTACGTCCTGATCCCGAAAAGATCAAGGCGATCACCGACTGGCCCGTGCCGGTCGATGTCAAAGGTCTTCGAAAATTCCTTGGGCTAGCGGCGTATTTGCATAAGTATTCACGCAATTACGCCGAGATGACTGTACACCTCTCTCGTTTGTTGAAAAGAACGAGAGGTGGTTATGGAACGCTGAATGTCAACGCTCCTTTGAGGGTATCAAGCAGAGCTTGATACAATCCCCAGTCCTAGCAATAGCCGATCAGGACAGGCCATTTCATGTGGTCTGTGATGCCAGCGATTTCGCAATCGGCTGTGCATTAATGCAGTACGACCTTGAAGGCGTTGAACGCGTCGTCTGCTATCAGTCGCGTCAGCTGCAACCAGCTGAGCGGAACTATCCAGTGCATGACAAGGAACTCCTTGCCATGAAGTATGCACTCGCGAAGTTCAGAGTCTATCTATTAGGAGATAGACCCTTCGTTGTTTACACTGACCATGCGTCCTTACGCACGGCAGTGAACAGCCCACACCTTTCACAACGAATGGCGCGGTGGTTGTCATTCTTTGCAGAATACAACTTTACGGTCGAGTACAAACCAGGACGACTTAATGTCGTCGCTGATGCACTCTCACGTCGTCCCGACTTTGAAACAGTCGCGAAACCCAACAGTGAGACAGTCACTGTTGCGGTTATGACGTCCTCAGTTCCATCTACAACGTTGTATGATGATGTGAGGCGGGCATACGCCCAAGATGGTGAGATAGTGAAGTTGTTGTCACATCTCTCCCAACCATCTCGAGAATCGTTGAAACGATTGTCGTCTGCGTATCGATCTGCATCAGATCGATACACTACTCGTAACGGTTTACTGTACTATACAGCCGTTTCTGGTGACACACCACGTGTTGTCATTCCAGATGATACTGATCTGCGTTTGCGGATCATGTTCGAAGTATCACGATGCTCCTATAGGGAGGACATCGTGGCCGAGAGAAAACATATCTCACGGTAAGTCGAGACTTTTACTGGCCCCGCCAGTATCAGTTTGTGCGAAAGTATGTTCGCGCATGCGAAGTCTGCCAACGAGTGAAGTCAAGTCCTTCACTGCGTGCACCTTTACAGCCTCTACCGGTTCCGGCTGAGTGCTGGGAATCCATCTCAATGGATTTCGTCTTCAGGTTACCCAAAGACGCACGCGGGAATACGGGTATTCTCGTATTTGTTGACAGATTCAGCAAAATGGTACACCTTGTGGCTGTACCAGAGACAATCACGGCAAGTGGCTGTGCTTGTGTCTTTATTGACACCATCTTCCGACTTCATGGGTTGCCCCGTGAACTCGTATCAGACAGAGATCCACGATTCACTGCTGATTTCTGGCGTTCCGTGTTCAAATCACTCGGAACGCGCTTGAAGATGTCAACATCTGATCATCCAGAGTCAGATGGTCAGACGGAACGTGCCAATCGTGTCCTTGAAGAGATACTTCGAGGATACGTACACTCCTTTAAGAGTTGGAGTGAGTTTTTGCCGATGGTAGAGTTTGCCATCAACAACTCGGTGCATGCGTCCACGACACATACACCGTTTTACGTGAATGGCTTGCGCCATCCGCGTGTACCCACCTTACTAGAGTGTAACTCTGGTTTAAGGGGGGAGGGACTCGCGCGAGCAAAAACCGATTTGGTTCACGCTCATCACGCTCTGACGAAGAAGTCATTGCGTTTGATGCCGATATCGATAACATCGATATCGAAGAAGATGATGCCAGTGAGAGTGCGGAAGCCCTCACTGAAGACAATGATCCCAGTGAGAGTGCGGGAAGCCCTCACTGAAGAAAAGGTTGTTGTCGCTGCAGTGCGCTCACAGCACACTGAAGCTAACGAGTCATCAGATGAGTTCATACTGGCTCGTGAAACGGTAGTCCGTTTTGTGCAAGACTCCATCGCCGAAGCGGTGGATAAGCAAAAAGCAAAACGCTGACAAGAATGGAAGGGCAAACACTCTTTTATTTAATAAAGGTGACTTAGTCCTACTGTCTACGGTTAATCTACCAAAACATGTAGTGACTAACTTGGGTAGCAGTAAACTACTACCCAAGTACATTGGCCCATTTCGTGTATTGCACCGCCTAGGCAATGCATACACGATCGAGGTTACCACGTAAGATGCGAACGCATCCCACGTTTTACGTTGGTCGGCTTAAGCCGTACCATCAGTACGCTGCTTCTTCCGATGAAGAACGCCCTTGCGCTCAAGCATCTCGCAGAGAGCCTTGTGCTCCCGATGGTGGGCATCAACAAGGGTCTGAAGAGCAGTTATCTCAGCCCGAGACCGATCAACAATCCCACGAGCTACCCTTAGCTCGTCACGAAAAGATGTCAGAGATCTCTCGTTCTCAAGCTGAGCAAAGGCAAACTCAGCTCGATGCTTCGAGGCAGTGTCCACCATCTGGAGACGCCTATTCCGCTCATGCTCGAGATCGTCGCGTAACCCTTGCGTTACGCGATCAAAAAGCTCTCGGGAACACACCGATCCACATGATCGTGTGGAGAGCGTCTTTCCTCCTCCTCCACCTCCATTAGAGGACTCTCGCGGTGGCCAGCGCTATCTAGTAGAGCAGCTGTTGAACCACCGCGACGTGAACGGACGTCGGACGAGTTACCTCGTCCGGTGGCGCGGCTATCCCCCGTCCTGGGATTCTTGGGAGCCCCGCTCCCAATTGATGGTTGACGTACTGGGTCTGGTCGAGCAGTACGACGCGACACATCCTGTGCCGCAGAAGGACCGCCGGAGAAAGTCTTCCCGGCACGGTCGTAAAGGGATTTCAGGTTGTCAATCCCTTCGTACATCTCAGTAGAGACACGTACGCGCCACCACGGGCTGGTAAGGAGGTAAGCCTCCTTAGGTGCTCGTGCAGAGTTGTTCACACAACATGGGCACGAGTCTCCCCAAGAGAGGCAGGGGTAATCCTTTCTCCCTTGACAGACGATGCAGCTTGTAGCGTGCACCTGTCGGGGTTCGCTTTTCAAACTTATCACGAGCTTTGATAAGTTTGTCGTTCCCAAGCGTCACGACCTACATCCTCGAGATTATGGATGTAGGCGTTCCACGCCTGAAGTAGTGAGGGACCATCACGTTTGTGATTCCCACTGTACCATCGATGTCTGAAGAAAGCATCGATGAAGAACTCATGTTCAGCGCGATAGTCTTTCGCGCTGGGGTCAAAGTGATGAATCCTTGACGAATCGAACAATCGTGTTCGATAACGATCACTCGTCGTCGCCGACAAGTGATCCATGACGGATTTAGGAGGCATCCATGCCTTCTTTTCTGGAGCGAGACGCAACACATTGCGGTCCCGCTCTTCCTGCGACGTGCCGACAGAAGTACTGGCACCTCGCTGTGAAGTGGTGTCCATTGGAGAAACGACACCACTATTGGCGCCCGAGTCTCGCGACCTCGAGCGCCTTCGCTTCGGCGATGGTTCATCTGACTCATCAGATGAACCAAAGATGCTGCGACGCAAAGCATCGTCCATGCCACGCTTGGCAGGCGGCTTGGATTCAATTGCCGTCGATACGGATCCGTCATCCGTATCAGGAGAGTACGAGACACCGAGCTCGTACTCTGTGAAGACACGAGTGTCTTCATGACCAGCGCCTGCATCACCAGGTGATACAGGCTGAGTCGATTCAGCAACCGATGGGACATCAGTTGCTGTAGTTTCTGCTTCGGCGTCCGCACAGAGACGTGCAGACGCGCTCTCGGCGGCCTTGCTCGCGCATCGCATGGGCTTGTTTACCATGCGATGAGATGTTGGAAAGTGGACGCGGACCAACAAGTGCAAACCCCGTCCCAAATGATTTGGGACGAGTATCCATTTAGTCAATCAGTCACTAAAGTGACTGATGGTTAGGGGGGTGATGTAACGGGGTGAATCGTTACATAACAATTTATAAGAAATTGTTAATAGAATATAACTATAAGAGTTATATTCTCAGAATATTGTCATAAGGACAATATTCTGTAGCACTTCAAGTAGTTCCTAATTGGTTGATATAGGCCATTATATCAACCAACGAAGACGCGCCACGACAGACGCACGCAATGAGTGGTGAGCAGATAACTGATTTACACATTTGTATTTAGACATAGTTAGATGAAGATAAATAGTGATTTATTGCAGACATTAACTATTATAAGTACAGTTCTACTTTTTACTTTAACCAAGTACTCGCTTCTTCTTACCGTCTTCCTCTGCACGTACGAGTGTACGTGAAGTTACGAGGCACCGCCTTATTCTGTCATCAGAATAAGTAGCTTGTACTGTCACCAGTACAAGCTTCAGGGTGCCCCGTTACATCCTCTGCACGTACTAGTGTACGTGAAGTTTCGCGGCACCCCAAACAAAGGGTGTCCCATTACACATGGTAGCACTTTGTAGTCCGTCCAACGACTACATAGTGTCCGTCCAACATGAACATGTTGGACGTAGAAGAAGACAGATTTCACGTCACACGTGAAGGCTACTCCCATCTGAGTGACTCAGAATGGGATTTAGTCGGCCGCATGAGTGTGCTCATGGGCGAACCCGCCATTAGTGGCATGTAAAGATCTCTAAGCAGAGACCAGCAACATGCTGCTATCAACGAGTTCCTACAAGGGGGACTTGCCGTCGAACGACATAAGATAGCTTTGCTACGTCAGCAAGGCTCTCATCAGTCGATGGGTGGGCCGACGCATACGGGTCGACCCGAAACCATGATGATAGGAATCTCAAGGTACAAGGGAACCGATAACGATTCCTTTGTGAGATGGTTCGTCGAGTTGGACGACGCCATCAGGGCCCTTTGGAACGGGGCACCCTGAAGCTTGTACTGGTGACAGTACAAGCTACTTATTCTGATGACAGAATAAGGCGGTGCCTCGTAACTTCACGTACACTCGTACGTGCAGAGGAAGACGGTAAGAAGAAGCGAGTACTTGGTTAAAGTAAAAAGTAGAACTGTATTTATAATAGTTAATGTCTGCAATAAATCACTATTTATCTTCATCTAACTATGTCTAAATACAAATGTGTAAATAAACTATCTGCTCACCACTCATTGCGTGCGTCTGTCGTGGCGCGTCTTCGTTGGTTGATATAATGGCTTATATCAACCAATTAGGAACTACTCGTAAGTGCTACAGAATATTTGTCCTTATGACAATATTCTGAGAATATAACTCTTATAGTTATATTCTATTAACAATTTCTTATACATTGTTATGTAACGATTCACCCCGTTACATCATCCCCCCCTTAACCATCAGTCACTTTAGTGACCGATTGACTAAATGGATACTCGTCCCAAATCATTTGGGACAGGGTTTGCACTTGTTGGTCCGAGTCCACTTCCCAGCATTTCATCGCATGGTTAACAAGCTTATGCGATGCGCGAGCAAGGCCGCCGAGAGCGCGTCTGCACGTCTCTGTGCGGACGCCGAAGCAGAAACCGCAGCAACTGATGTGTCATCGGTTGCTGAAGCGACCCAGCCTGCGTCACTTGGTGATGCAGGCGCTGGTCATGAAGACACTCGTGTCTTCACAGAGTACGAGCTCGGTGTCTCGTACTCTCCTGATACGGAAGACGGATCCGTATCGACGGCGATTGAATCCAAGCCGCCTGCCAAGCGTGGCATGGACGATGCTTTGCGTCGCAGCATCTTTGGTTCATCTGATGAATCAGATGAACCATCGCCGAAGCGAAGGCGCTCGAGGTCGTGAGACTCGGGCGCTAACAGTGGTGTCGGTTCTCCTATTAACACCACTTCGCAACGAGGTGCCAGTACTTCTGTCGGCACATCGCAGGAAGAGCGGGACCGCAATGTCTTGCGTCTCGCTCCAGAAAAGAAGGCATGGATGCCTCCTAAATCTGTCATGGATCACTTGTCGGCGACGACGAGTGATCGTTATCGAACACGATTGTTCGATTCGTCAAGGATCCATCAACTTGACCCCAGTGCGAAAAACTATCGCGCTGAGAATGAATTCTTCATCGATGCTTTCTTTAGACATCGATGGTCCAGTGGGAATCACAAACGTGATGGTCCCTCACTACTTCAGGCGTGGAACGCCTACATCCATAACCTCGAGGATGTAGGTCGTGACGCTTGGAACGACAAACTTATCAAAGCTCGTGATAAGTTTGAAAAGCGAACCCCGACAGGTGCACGCTACAAGCTGCATCGTCTGTCAAGGGAGAAAGGATTACCCTGCCTCTCATGGGGAGACTCGTGCCCATGTTGTGTGAACAACTCTGCACGAGCACCTAAGGAGGCTTACCTCCTTACCAGCCCGTGGTGGCGCGTACGTGTCTCTACTGAGATGTAAGAAGGGATTGACAACCTGAAATCCCTTTACGACCGTGCCGGGAAGACTTTCTCCGGCGGTCCTTCTGCGGCACAGGATGTGCCGCGTCGTACTGCTCAACCAGACCCAGTACGTCGATCATCAGTTGGGAGCGGGGCTCCCAAGAATCCCAGGACGGGGGATAGCCGCTCCACCGGACGAGATAACTCGTCCGACGTCCGTTCACGTCGCGGTGGTTCAACAGCTGCTCAACTAGATAGCGCTGGCCACCGCGAGAGTCCTCTAATGGAGGTGGAGGAGGAGGAAAGACGCTCTCCACACGATCATGTGGATCGGTGTGTTCCCGAGAGCTTCTTTTGATCGCGTAACGCAAGGGTTACGCGACGATCTCGAGCATGAGCGGAATAGGCGTCTCCAGATGGTGGACACTGCCTCGAAGCATCGAGCTGAGTTTGCCTTTGCTCAGCTTGAGAACGAGAGATCTCTGACATCTCTTCGTGACGAGCTAAGGGTAGCTCGTGGGATTGTTGATCGGTCTCGGGCTGAGATAACTGCTCTTCAGACCCTTGTTGATGCCCACCATCGGGAGCACAAGGCTCTCTGCGAGATGCTTGAGCGCAAGGGCGTTCTTCATCGGAAGAAGCAGCGTACTGATGGTACGGCTTAAGCCGACCAACGTAAAACGTGGGATGCGTTCGCATCTTACGTGGTAACTCGATCGTGTATGCATTGCCTAGGCGGTGCAATACACGAAATGGGCCGATGTACTTGGGTAGTAGTTTACTGCTACCCAAGTTAGTCACTACATGCTTTGGTAGATTAACCGTAGACAGTAGGACTAAGTCACCTTTATTAAATAAAAGAATGTTTGCCCTTCCATTCTTGTCAGCGTTTTGCTTTTGCTTATCCACCGCTTCGGCGATAGAGTCTTGCACAAAACGGACTACCGTTTCACGAGCCAGTATGAACTCATCTGATGACTCGTTAGCTTCAGTGTGCTGCGAGCGCACTGCAGCAACATCAACCTTTTCTTCAGTGAGGGCTTCCGCACTCTCACTGGGATCATCTTCTTCAGTGAGGGCTTCCGCACTCTCACTGGCATCATCTTCTTCGATATCGATGTTATCGATATCGGCATCAAACGCAATGACCTCTTCGTCAGAGCGTGATGAGCGTGAACCAAATCGGTTTTTGCTCGCGCGAGTCCCTCCCCCCCCTAAACCAGAGTTACACTCTAGTAAGGTGGGTACACGCGGATGGCGCAAGCCATTCACGTAAAACGGTGTATGTGTCGTGGACGCATGCACCGAGTTGTTGATGGCAAACTCTACCATTGGCAAAAACTCACTCCAACTCTTAAAGGAGTGTACGTATCCTCGAAGTATCTCTTCAAGGACACGATTGGCACGTTCCGTCTGACCATCTGACTCTGGATGATCAGATGTCGACATCTTCAAGCGCGTTCCGAGTGATTTGAACACGGAACGCCAGAAATCAGCAGTGAATCGTGGATCTCTGTCTGATACGAGTTCACGGGGCAACCCATGAAGTCGGAAGATGGTGTCAATAAAGACACAAGCACAGCCACTTGCCGTGATTGTCTCTGGTACAGCCACAAGGTGTACCATTTTGCTGAATCTGTCAACAAATACGAGAATACCCGTATTCCCGCGTGCGTCTTTGGGTAACCCGAAGACGAAATCCATTGATATGGATTCCCAGCACTCAGCCGGAACCGGTAGAGGCTGTAAAGGTGCACGCAGTGAAGGACTTGACTTCACTCGTTGGCAGACTTCGTATGCGCGAACATACTTTCGCACAAACTGATACTGGCGGGGCCAGTAAAAGTCTCGACTCACCGTGAGATATGTTTTCTCCCGGCCACGATGTCCTCCTATAGGAGCATAGTGATACTCGAACATGATCCGCAAACGTAGATCAGTATCATCTGGAATGACAACACGTGGTGTGTCACCAGAAACGGCTGTGTAATACAGTAACCCGTTGCGAGTAGTGTATCGATCTGATGCAGATCGATACGCAGACGACAATCGTTTCAACGATTCTCGAGATGGTTGTGAGAGATGTGTCAACAACTTCACAATCTCACCATCTTGGGCATACGCCCGCCTCACATCATCATCATACAACGTTGTAGATAGGACTGAGGACGTCATAACCGCAACAGTGACTGTCTCACTGTTGGGTTTCGCGACTGTTTCAAAGTCGGGACGACGTGAGAGCGCATCAGCGACTACATTGAGTCGTCCTGGTTTGTACTCGACCGTAAAGTTGTATTCCGCAAAGAATGACATCCGCCGCGCCATTCGTTGTGAAAGATGCGGGCTGTTCACTGCCGTGCGTAATGACGCATGGTCAGTGTAAACAATGAAGGGTCTATCTCCTAATAGATAGGCTCTGAACTTCGCGAGTGCATACTTTATGGCAAGGAGTTCCTTGTCATGCACTGGATAGTTCCGCTCAGCTGGTTGCAGCTGACGCGACTGATAGCAGACGACGCGTTCAACGCCTTCAAGGTCGTACTGCATTAATGCACGGCCGATTGCAAAATCGCTGGCATCACAGACCACATGAAATGGCCTATCTTGATCGGCAATTGCTAGGACTGGGGATTGTATCAAGCTCTGCTTGATACCATCAAAGGAGCGCTGACATTCAGCGTTCCATAACCACCTCTCGTTCTTTTTCAACAAACAAAAGAGGTGCACAGTCATCTCGGCGTAATTGCGTGAATACTTATGCAAATACGCCGCTAGCCCAAAGAATTTTCGAAGACCTTTGACATCAACCGGCACAGGCCAGTCGGTGATCGCCTTGATCTTTTCGGGATCAGGACGTACACCGTTCTTACCAATGATGCACCCAAGAAGTGGTCTTTGGTTGCTGCAAATACACACTTCTTGAGGTTTGCATACAATTGATGCTTTCGCATGATTGTAAGAGCCTGTCGGACGTGGTACCTGTGAACCTCAACGTCCGACTTTCCATCCATAGCTCGACTATGGATGAATACGTCATCGAAATAACTCGGCGCGAATTCTCGTACTGGTCTCAACAGATGTGATACACATCTGTTGAACGTGGCAGGGGCATTACTAAGCCCTTGTGGCATTACTAGCCATTCCCAGAGCATACCACTGGGGGTGCTAACTGCGGTATAGGGTATATCCCGTTCTCGCATAAGGATTTGATAGAAGCCATCCATCAAATCCATGGACGAAAAGATGGTACTCTTTGACATACCATCAATGATTACGTCCTTCCTCGGTATCGGCGTCTGAGCCGGTACCGTTGCAGCGTTCAATTTGTTGAACGCGTGCACTATCCGCCACCCTCCTGTTGCTTTTCGCACACAGAAGGTCGGAGAGCTATGTGGGGAAGTTGATTCCCTCACATGGCCCGCAGCTAAACGATCGGCAAAGAACTTGTCGATCGCAAGTACTTGTTCACGAGGCAGTGGTCACTGCTTCATGACACAGTACTTCGAGCCTGGTTTAAGCTCGACTTCGTGTCGAATACCTTTATCCTTCGGTAATTCGCACGGAACAGTTTCAGGGAATACATCCTTGAATTCAACCAAATCTTCATAGAGAGGATTTTCCTTGAGCGATTCCCATGATTGGGACTCATATCGCTCAATTCGTGTCTTTTCATCTAGGACACTCTCGTCCATAGATGAACTACTGAGAACTCTCTCGTTCTCAGTGAACACTGTTGCTGACCTTATGTCGGTTACACACTCGTCGTCAGCGACGAGTATGCAGATCTGCTTGACTTTGCCACTACGCAGATCACGCAAGAACCTTTTATGTTCGAGCGTTGGCAACTGAGTGATCTCCGAAGTTAACTTCGGAGGCGCAATCAGATCAAGTGTATAAGCGCCTACACTTGATCCGTTATTGACTATGATATTCAATGTCTCTGTCATTTCCTGGGGACTTATTCCCTCAGGCTTCGAAGGACTTATTCCTTCGGCTTCCCGGGGACTTATTCCCGCGGGTTTCGGGGAACTTATTTCCGCCGTATTTGTAATCTTGGGACTTATTCCCTTTACTTCCTCTAGCTGGGGTTGCGCAACCACAGCGAGATCCTCTACGAAAGACTCTCCAGTCGATCTAGGATTATCGTTTCGCTTAACCTGAGCGATCGATTGTTTCTCTTCTAGATGTTCCCCGCTAGGGATACATCTTTGTCCCAGTCCACCCGAATTATTCGAGTGGTGGACCTTCGGCGCAGCCTGTGTTTCCTCACAGCCGCCGGAACTTTGCTCCGAAGTGTAACCGTTTGGTACACTAAGGTTTTGTGCAGTCGTACTAACGACCGTACCACAAGTGAGTCCATCGCACTCACTCGTAGTACATCCACACGCTTGTGGACGCTCCAAAACGTTCATCAGATGGCTATCTGATGAACAAGCGGCAGGCATCGTTACTGTCCGATGTTGCCAGTTTACCCGTGGTTCGTACCTTCTGAGCCACGGTATTCCAAGGATGACATCAAATTTGTCATCCAAATCCAATACGATAAAGTCATCATCATATTGGGTATCTTCTAGCGTATAGTGGATCTTCACTATACGCTTCATGACGGTTACGGATGCGCCTGTCGCAAGACGTACCGTCATCCTCGTAGGAGGTGTGTCACATTCACTGAATTTAAAGTGACCATCTTCTAGCGATTGGCGTCGCACAAAATTGTTGGACGCCCCACAATCGACTAGAGCTCGAAGGGACAACTTATTCGTCACTTCGAGTTTCAAGGTAATGAGTGAGACCTCATTACCTAGAGCAGCAACGCACAACGTTTGTGTGTTGGGAGCAACCTTCATCAAGAGGCCTACAAATTCTCTTGACGTTGCTAGACCAGTAGGGTGCTCCGCACCTACTGATCCTGTCCGTTTTTTGACGGTCCATCCCGTTGTTGCGTCTTTGCACCAACTGCGGACCCTCGTCCCTGCCCCTTTCTCATGGGTGGACGGTCACTACGCCCAGTGTCGCGAGACACTGGACGAGGGGCACTACACTCGTAAGCGTAGTGTCCTGTCTTTTGACTTCTGTTGCATCTCTGCAACATCTTGTAGCCTGTAGAGCGAGCCTTCTCGCTCTCTACATAATAGAGTTCCATCGGCTCTGGACCTCCGTTGTCATATCGTCTCGGTTGACGATATGATGTCGAGCTGGCGCGAGCCTGTCTCAGACTGAAGTCTTCCTGCTCCGCAATGGAAATGGCTTGTTCTAGTGAATCTAGGTCAAGTCGGAACAGGTGAGTCTTGACGGGACCATCCGCAAGACCCTGCATGAACACCGAAACCAACGTGTGTTCATCAGCCAGGTTGGAACTTATACAACTCGTGAGATGTCGTATATGTTGAGCGTAAGCGTGCACATCACGCTTACCCTGCTTGAGCTTCAAGAGTTCGGTTCGAGCCCTGAACTCAGCTCTAGGCGGTTCGAACGTTTGTCTGAGCCGCGACTTGAAGACTTCCAACGACCCGAACGCATATGGGTCGTGCAACTTGAGCCCCAGTGCCCAAGTCTTGGCACGTCCTGCCAGATTTGACTGGGCAAATGCAACTTGCATTTCCCCATCGTCAAAGCGACGCGCCCTTATGGCGTCATCCAATTTGACGAACCATCTCAAGAGGGA